CAGAGCAGAAGAACACACCTGGCCTCCAGTCTTCCAAGCACCATAGGATATGCCATCAGGCCTGGGTGCACGAATTAGATCTGCGAGCGCCTCCTCCGATACCCTCCAATTCGAATCGGGCGAAACAGTCTGAATGCACGGGCTGGAACCTTGAAGTGCTCGGGGCCCACGAAACACTTTCTCCAATCTCCCCCCAGTACGCCGACAAGGCCTTGGCCGATTCCCCGGGCGATGCGAATGGAAGTCCGTTAGTTGGCAATGCGACGAAGATAGATGCGACGATCGAACGGTGCCCATGCAGCAGCTAACTCACGAAGTCGAGCGACTCTCTGATCGCTACGTTCTAACCTAACAGATTGGTCGGCCAGTAGCTCTTGCTCCTCACGCTGCAAGGAGACATTCATCAGACTGGCAAACTCATCCTGAAAGCTCTGCTGGCCGTGCCACTGCATGACCTCACAAGCGAAAAACTGCCGCGGCCTCGGGAACTCACAGCAGGCTCGCCTAGCAGCGCGACGACCCTTACTCCTAGCAGCCCGAGACAGCGCGAGCATCCAAGAGATCTTCTCCTCGACGCTTCGGGGCCCACGGACCTGATGCCGACGTTTAACGCGACGAGCAGCCTCCTATATAACTCCTCTACAATCCAGAATCCTCCGAGCAGGGTGATCGGAAAGATCGATCAGCCAAAATGCTTTCAAGTTCAGCTCGGGAGAACACAGCGCGGACCACCCATTTCGAAACAGCGCAGCGGCTGGCACCAGCAGACGGAGCAGCGAGGAACACGGCAACGCGATCACTTGGCAGACTGTTTTGAAAGAGATTGGACACGACACCAGCGATAGGCTTGCAGTCTAGCAGGACCATAGAGGGGGTAGAGATATATGCCCTGGCAATTCTTCCCACAGCGATAACCCTATCGCCCCGAAGTGTTTCATGAGTGTCGCGCGGTTAGAATATTTCTGCATATCCCCTGAACTGGTCCTGGATAATGGGCGAGGTGAGAAGAGCGCATAAGTGCCGCGCCGTCCCGAGTCCGAGGCCGCCCTTCACAAGCAGCGCAGGAATTGAAACCCCCGGCCAGAATAGTCGCAGCAGCAGCGGGCTCAAGAGAAGCGCGCGCAAACGCCCGAAGCTGACGCTTTTATCGCCGTGTGCGAGAGGGAGGGGTCGATATGGACATCGATGAGCTGGAGGCGCCCAGCTGCGCCGAACATCTGAACGACCAGAATGCGCCCCTTGGCAACTTCCGACATCTCGAAGACCTGAAAACTGAGATGCAAGCCTCTCGTGGACCAAAATAGCCACTCCACCAGCATTGCCAGACTCCATGAAGCCCCCGAAAACTTCAAGCCTGGGATGACGACGACGAACCTCCTCCAAGTCCTCCTCGTCCCCACGGGTCTCCTGGGGCATCATGACGCCGTGGCGCTTCAAAAGCCTCCGAACGTATTTCAAGGAACGGGTTTGCATCTCGTGGGACGTCCAAATACTGCCAAGGAGATTGCGCGCATTACACGTGGTACGGGGTAGAGAGCCTTCAGCGTGGAGACAGGGAGTGCACGGGTCCACAGGGCGAGGGCGAGGGTGACGAATTAACAGAGACAGGCACAGAGCTAACAGAGACAGGGCTGGCAGACTCAGCATTCAGAAAACAAGCAGGCGACTCCCCGAGGCAATCCTCGCGCCGAAATATTTCAGGAAACTGAAGCTGCTGCTGTCCACGATACTCTGGCTGATGGTCTCGTCCGGGAAGTTCCCGTTGGCCAGCAGGAGCTGACGACGATGCCACCGACCCGAGGAGGCCGAGCACATCTTTGCCAGCCACGTGCCAGTAGCGGAAACTCGCAAGGTTCGGCTCGTACTGGAAGCCCGTCTCGGTGGCGCCCTTGATGTAGTACAGTTCGAATACGTATTCAGGTGATGACAAGTGTACCAAGCCCTGGTACCCATTCCCGCCCAAGCGGAAGTTGCCCGTGGGACGACCACATGTCTTCAGCAGGTCGAGGAGTTTGCTGCCGCGCCTGGCTGGCCGCTCGTTGGCGGGCACGTACATCAATAGGTAAGTCACCACGCACACGGATGATGCTGGCCCACTGATCACGCGGGTCATGCCACGTTAGATCTACGCCGCTGCACAAGTTGGAGAAGGAGTTCGCGCTCTCCTCAATGGGAAAATCGACGGAGTATGACTTAGCTACACGAGCTATCTTCAGAGATGCATCATCACGTAGAGATTGCGGAATCTGCGGCGAGACCACGTTGTCCGAGTGATGCTGGCGCTGCTGCACGGTCAGGGCGCGCGGGAACGTGCCGACCCAGCGCCTCGTCTTGACCTCAGGTGGGCCCTGCGGGCCCTGTTGGCGCTGACCGCCAGCTGAACTCGGTGCACTGCTGCCTGCCGTAGAAGATGGAGCAGGGCGAGCCTTCAGCGAGGCCAACTCGGACTGGATGCCCTCCAGCTTGGTGTCGATCGCGGCCTGGACCGCGGCGGTGACGGCGCCCGACTGGGCAGCCTCCACCTGCACGAGCCGCGTGTGGACGGCCCCGAGGTTCGTGTCGTGCATGGAGAGCGCGCTGCGCATGCTGTCCACCTCCTGCTGCATGTTCTGTTCCAGCTGCTTGATCGAGCTGTTGGTTTCACGCACCTGCTCCACGAGGGAGCTGAGCCATGTGGGCGCCTTAAACGACGCACTCTCACCACGGTCGGACTTGTACCTTGAGCCCTGGCTGTACTCGGAGCGGCTGCGATCACGACTGACATCTCGACTGGAGACACGATCTGAGCTCGGACTGGAACGACGCTGATGACCCCGCTGTTGCCCACGACGAGGAAGAGCGGACGGGCTCATGTCGAACCTCTCAGCCTCACGAGAAGCACGGTCATTGCGGCGACGGCCCATCGCTGGACCAGACTGGTGTGATGCGCGTAGTATTGACAATGTACAATGCAAAATGCGATGCAGTGAGTATGTGAGCAGTGAAAGGGAACTGCGCCCGAGGGCTGCCTTGGGCAGGCTTCTGTGCCCGCCGAGCTGGCCTCGCGCGCGCCACCTCGAGAAATGTGTTACTTGAGCCAAAATGGCTTGAGCCAAAATGGCTACGGAAGAGGAGGAGGAGGAGGAGGAGGAGGAGGAGCAGAAGGAGGAGGAGGAGGAGGACGACGACGAGGAGGAGAAGGACGACGAGGAGGAGGAGGACGAGGAGGAGGGAGAGAGAGGAGGGCAGCGGGAGGAGTGAGGCCCCGCGAGGATCTAACACAACAGGATTGTTAGGAAAAATACCGCCATCGGAAATCTGGGTCCTCATCTCGGGCATTGGCGGGACAGGGTTGAGTGGGACCTGGTTTAGTGATGTGTACCGTACGGGGGGACGTCCCCCCTACGCCCCATTCACTCACCGGAACTGCCGACACCCAAAGAAACACCAGCTACGGCAGACTGCGTGTTGTGATTCTGGGTGATTTCAGGGAGCTTCGGGGCCCAATCACTGACCAGCTCCCCTCACCCATAGAAGAAAAAACGCCATAAACATAAACTTTTGGCGCTCCGCGCGGATTTCTTGGATCTGCGTTGCACCCCCCTCCCTGGCGTGCGGAGCGCGCCAGGGGCGGCGCCTGAGGCGCCGCCAGGGGGCCCCAGCGCAGATCCAAGAAATCCGTGCGGAGCGCCAAAAGTTCGTTTTTCCTTCGAGCCCAGGGTCCTGACTACATTTAAGTCGGGCCTGTCCCCCTACAGGGGGATTTTCGACGGAAAACAAAAAATACCCCAAAAGCACTTTAAACAAAATCCAAAAATAGTCCAGGGACTATTTTGGGGGTATTTGTTTACCTGTTTAGGGTATTTCTGGGTATTTCTTATTTTTCGTCGAAAATCCCCCTGCAGGGGGACACGCCCGACTTCAGACTACTGACGAACGGACAACACGCACCCATACCCATAGGGGGGTCGTTGGGAGGAGGACTGGCTATGGGTATGGGTGCGGGTTGTCGGACCCTGGGGAACGCTCCCGTTCGAGCGGGGACCCTCATCCCACAACACGCACCCATAGCCCTCTCCGAACCCCCTATGGGTATGGGTGTGCGTTGTTGGTTCGTCAACTGCATCCGATCCCCCTCCTCCACCGGGAGCCACTGCACGGGAACCAGAGAGGGCGGCGGTGCTGTGCCCGCGCGGGCACCTCGGCCACTGCGCGGAGGACAGGGCAGAAAGGGCCACGCCGCGTGCCCGCGTGGCGCGGCGGCCTCGGTGGCAGCTCGTGGGAGCCTCGCGTACAGGGCATGTTGTTTTAATACATCAGATTTTTATATATATATATATATATATATAGGAATTCTAATATGATGTTCAACATATGGAATTTATCATATAGTTGAATCGACCCTTCATTTTTAAAACATAGGATTTTTAAAATATATCTATATATGTATATGAATAAATGAATGCATAAATACGTCCTTGCATTTATGAATCAACACTTTATTCTCACCACATGGTCCGCACGCGGAGCATGCATCAAAAACGGCACTGTACCATCTTGGCCGCTCTTGCGAATCGGCGCTTGTCGACGCTGAGTCGACGCGAATCGACGCCAAATGGCGGTGATCGGCTCTGACCGACGCCGAATCGGCGCCACCTCATCGACTCCCAGACGCTGATCGACGTCAGAGACGGAATCAAGAGGGTATACGGCAGGTTCGTGTCGTGCCGACCCCAGCATTGGTTTTTGACACCGCAGGGATCGTTCAACCTTGAACGATCGGCCGCTGCCGCAACGTCCGATCGTTCAACATCGATCGATTCTGGGTCGCCGTCGGCGTTCAACCTTGAACGCCGGCGGCGGGGTCGCCGCTGGTCGACACGACGCAAACCTACCGTACCAGGATCCCATGATTTGCTACCGAAGGCGGCGGTGGGCAGCGGGAGGACGGGGAAGAAGACACCGAGGGGAGCAGGCCGAGGAGACCTACGCCCCGCAGGGGGCGCGGAAGACGCAACCACTCAGGCCGACGGGGCCGCCATCGCCTGTGGTGAGAACCACGGCATGCCTGGAGGAACAACAAAAAAAAACACGGCATACAATGAAGGCCAGTCCGAAAGAAACCTTCCACAAGAAACCCAACCATGAGACCCCAGGACGTCCATTGAGTTTTGGTGTGCGAGCGTCGCGCCTCCCACAGCAAAACCACCGAAGCCCAAGAGACCCACGGCACCCTGGAGGCAAGCAGGGTGTTCCTTGACATGGGCCTCCACTGCAACCGTAACCGCTTGGAGGTCCGCGCGGATCTCTCGGATCGGCGCGGGACTCCCCCCCCTCCGGTGCGCGGAACGAGCCAGGCAGGGGGCGCCGGCGCAGGCCCGAGAGGTCCGCGCGGGCCTCCGCGAGGTTGCCCCTGCGCGGTTTCGGCTCCGTCGGAGCGCCTGAGCGCGGCTGGAGCGCGTGGTAGCCCGGAGCGCGCGGTGCAAATCCCCGCGGGGGCCCCGGCAGCGGCGGATGCATCCACGTGCACCGCAGGCCCCGCGGGCAGTACCCGTGCTTCACCCAGGCCCAGCACGTATCCTCACGCCGCGCGAGGTCGTGCATGACCGACGGGGGGAGTGGCGCCGGGAAGATGACGTCATCCCACGGGCTGCCCTTTGCTGAGGCCGCCTCCTCTCGGGCCGGACAAAACAAAAGGAGGAGGAGGAGGAGGAGGAGGAGGAGAAAGAGAAAGAGAAAGAGAAAGAGAAAGAGAAGAAGAAAGAGGAGGAGGGGGAAGAAGATGAGTAGGAGGAAGGGAGAGAGGCAGTCCAGTTGTAGTCCAAGCAGATAGAGCGCCGGACTGGATTCAGCGTCGCCCGAGAGCAGGCCAGGTCCAGTGGGAGGCCCACCAGGTGAAGCCCCTGGGCTCCCACTGGACTCACTCCAACTGGACTTGGCGTGGGTCGGCGAGTCAGCCCTCGTCTGGCCCGAGTCATCGAAGGGCCCCCAGGACACACAAATAAATACACACAAATAAAAATATGCCCCATATTTTCCCATATGTTCTGGGTTCTTGTCTTCCAGCCCACTTCCCATATGTTCCCATATTTTCTGGGGAATCGACGATTAATTGTGCCTGTGTATTTTTTCCTCTCCTGATTTCGGGCCAACGGCGGGGTCTCCGACAGCCGCTCGGGCCGACTCGGGCACCTCCTCAGCACACCCCCGGCGAGGCGCAGCTGCCCCGCGAGGCGGGAGAGCTGCCGAGAGACATGGCGAGAACGCCCCCAAAAAAAACTCGAGCGTCGACCTCCTTTCTCTGATGAGCCGAAGTAGCTCACCATGGCCCGAGGAAGAAGAAGAAGAAACAGAAGCAGAAGAGAAAAAAGAAGCAGAAGAAGAAGAAGAGAGAGCCAGGAATTCCCGGAGCTCTCCTGGCCCCGCGCACGGAGCATGACTTCTCGGAGCCCCGCGCGGATTTCTTGCATCGGCGCTGGACCCTCCCCGCCGGTGCGCGGCACGCACGAAGGGCGGCGCCGAGGGCGCCGCCAGGGGGGGGGGGGGCAAGCGCAGATGCGAGAAGTCCGCACGGAGCTCCGAAAATCTGTCACCTCCCTGGCCGTCCTCCCCCCCCGTTTTTTGGACGCCCGAAATGGGTACGGAAAGGGCACAATGCCCAACAACAAATGTTGTCCCAAACCAACAGCGGCCGCTGTTGGGCGGGCGGCCCTCTGTCTCGAACTGATACAGACCGCGGCGGCGTGGACAGCGAGCCCTGTTCAAAATGAGCAAGAACTGCTGTTGGGCACTGTACCCACTTTTCCCGTACCCATCCCGTTCGTGCCGACTTTTCTGAAGGGGCCCTGGGACACACAAACAAATACACACATATTAATAGATTCCCCATATTTTCCAATATTTTCTGGGTTTTTGTCTTCCCGCCCAATTCCCATATTTTCCCATATTTTCTTCGAAATAGAGGATTAATTGTGTCTGTGTGTTTTTGTTCCTCCTGATTTTCGTCCGACCCGATCCTCCGGCGGCTGCTGGCGGGCAGCCGCCGGGTGCTGCGACGCCCGGGGGGCCTCGGCCGCCGCCGCGCTCTGGGCATCGGCGGGGCACCGGGGCTCCGCGGCCCCCGCCGCCCGGGCCCGCTCGGCCCAGACGCCCCGGGGGAGCGGCGACCGCTGGAGTCCGCTCGTTTTGATCATTCGCGGCAGCCATGCGGGAAAAGCACGCACACACACACACACACACACACACACACACACACACACACGCACACACGGAGTGGGAAAAGACATACACTGTGTGTTTTGTGGCAGGCCCTGCCACCACCACCACCCCCGGGTCGCGTCACGAGTCGCGCGTCTGGGAAAGGAGCCACCCCTGAGCATGTGCCCAGACGGCGCTGGCGCGAGTCGTGGCGCGGCAGGCTCCCCGGGCCACTTGCAGATTTGGTGCTCGCGCTGTCAATGCTCTGCTCTCCTAGGGCTTTACAGCGTCGTCTGCACCTTCTTCTGCATGTCCGAGCTCCGTAGCTGCCTGCACGCCCTCCTGTGCTCACCTGCGTCCTTGCTCTGGTGGACACTGCGCAAGCCTGCGAAGAGCTTGAGAAATCCCTTCCAGTGCTTCCCCCCCCCTGGCCACGCCCGTGATCGCCAGGGTATGCTCGCTTACAAAAACAAAACAAATCGTCTCTCCTGGGGGAGCGGCGACCGCTGCTGCCCCTCGAGTCCCGGCGGCGCCCGCGCCGCGGCCTGCTGCGGGTGCCGCTCCGGCCACGCGCTGGGCGCTGCGCAGGGCGCCGCGCAGGGCGCCGCGCAGGGCGGCACACCGGGCCGCACGCCGGGCGGCACGCTGGGCTGCACGCGGGGCGCCGCGCCTGGCGGCGCGCCGGGCGGCGCGCTGGGCGCCACTCCTAAGGCGGCGACATGCGAACCCCACTGCCCCTCCGACCGTCGATTCTCCTGAATCGACGGGAGGCGGGGGCAGGCTTCGACCTTCGCTCGCCACGTGCTCGACCAACTCCGAAGCCTACCCCCGCCGCCCATCGAGCTGCCTGGATCGTTGGTCGGCGAGGGTAGCCGGGAGAGCCAAGTAACGACCCCCCACCCGTTGCCCCTAGCACCCAAAATAACTGGTTAATTCCAATTGGGGTCTTCTTGGGATCCAAATAGGATCTTGGTGGGATCTCGCACTGGGGAGACAGGGGGCGGGATATCCCTCCCAGGGGCGAAAAGCGATATAGCTCCGCCGAAAAACGGGGGAGATGGAGGGGGGAGGCGCCGTTTGCTTACTGCGGTTAGGGCTCGCATTCCGCCGCCGCACTCCCGCAGGCGTGCCCGTGCTGCGCGGGGCGCTGGGCGGCGCGCTCGGCGCTGCGCTGGGCGGCGCGCTCGGCGGCGCGCGCGGGCTGGGAGGCCGCGCCGCCGCGGGGCTCGGCGGGTAGAGCCCCGGCGGGGGCCCCGGGTCCGGCAGCAGCGGCCCGGGAGCGGCGGCGGCGCCCACGGCAGCGAGGCCCGGCGCGGCGGCGGCAAGCAGAGCGGCCTCGGCCCGGCCGCGCACGGCCACGGGCTCGGGCGCCTCGCCCTGCGCGCGCTCCTGGGCCAGCCGAGGCGCTGCCAGCGCGGGGTGGGTGCAGCTCCACGGCGGGGCGCGGCCGCCAGCAGTCACCGCGTAGCTCTGCAAACTGACGCCGTCCGAGCTCTCCGTGTCCGCGTCGAGCTTCTGCACGGACACCCTGTCGATGACGATGTTGGACTCGACTGCGGAATCACCTGCACATGTGTCGGAAAGCTCGTCTCGCTGCTCTGCCGCTGGTTGTGCGACGTGCTCGCCCTGTCGAGTGCTCACCTCCTCCACCCCGTCTGCCGCCTCGCTTGCCATTCGCCCCGCCCGTCTGTAGGCGAGCAGAGGCACAGAGATCTCGGAGAACTGGTACATCCACCCGCCCCCGCCTTGACAGAGACAGCCGCGCGCTGGCGCAACACGCGAGGGAACCGCCAACAATGCGAAGGCGGCGCGCAGTCGCGCGGGTGGGGGCCCGCGCGGAGCTGGCCCAAACTGAGCCCTAAAATGGCTGCAAACTGCCTTGCCGACCTATTGGGCCGACTAGGGCTCCTCTGGAGGCCCGCTTCGGCCCTCTTGGGGCTCTCTTGGAGCAGTCCTGGGCCATCTTGGGACCTTCTTGGGGCTCTCTTGGGGCTGGATTCGGCGCTCGTTGGCCCCTCCGAGGCCCTCTTGGAGCCACATGTTGCCGAGAGATGCGGAATCGCTGAGATATTGGAAAACATACGGAATTCGTCTGGTTTGGGCGCTTGAAATCCCTCTTGGCCCCTCCCGCGGCCTCATGGAGCCGTCTTGGAGCTTTGGGGCCTTGTTGGACTCTGTGGAAATCGTCCAGCGGCGATTCCAAATGAAAGATTGGGGAGCCCTGGGGCTATCTCTGGGGCTCTTGGAGCTCCCTTGGGCCAGGGACCCTGACATCCTCTCAATCGCCTGGCAATGGGGGCCAGACTTCTGGGGGTCAGAGTCAGCGAAACGCAAGCACAGGAACAACAAACAAAGTCAAACCAAACCAAAAAACACGCGCACACACACACACACACACATCATACGAGGAATAGTAAGAATACAAGCAACACGAATCATATCAACAAAACTACTAAGCCTAATAAGACGACTAGTAAACAAGAAAAATATATAATAAAAAAACAGCACGAGCACGAAGAATAATGGAAATATAAATAATAGTATGATTCCTACCATTCCTATTATTAGTAGTAATGCTGCTGATGGTATTAATAAAAATAGCAGTACTAGTAACAACACTACCACCACTACTGATAGCAATAGTAATAGTGGTACAAAAATCCTTAAACGTATAATAGTATTAACTTTCAGGGTACTAAGGTTTAAAAAACTGATACTACCCATACGAATGAGACTCCTTATATGAATACGGACAATGCTACGAAAGCCAATACTAATAAGAATACCAATAATACGAACCACACGAGCAATACTAATCATAATACGAGCAGCAGCAGCAGGAGGAGGGGGGAAGGGGAGGGAGGAGGAGGGAGAGGAGAAGGAGGAGGGGGGGCGAAAGACGAAGAGGAGAAGGGAGGAGGAGCAGGAGGAGGAGGAGGAGGAGGAGGAGGAGGAGGAGGAGGAGGAGGAGGAGGAGGAGGAGGAGGAGGAGAGGGAACAAGAGGAGGAGGAGGAGGAGGAGGAGGAGGAGGAGGAAAAGGAGGAACAAGAGCGGGAGGAAAAGAGGAGGAGGAGGAGGAGGAGGAAGACGAGGAGAAGGAGGAGGAGGTGACATGGTCCTCCGCCTCTCCACGTCGTTCTCCTCCTCCCTCTGTCCACTGTGTTTCCTAGGCCGCCTCGCGTGCCCGCGGGCAACCGGGGCGGCGCTCACCCCCTGGGGACCGCCGGCCGTCCGTTCGAGGCGCCGAGAACGACCGCGACGGGGCCCTGTCGGCGGCGACAGCGACGATCCTGGACATGGATAAAGAGGGGCCCAGGGAGGAATCCTCGAAGGAAAAAAAACAGAATTCGAAATTTTCAGAGCTCTGAGCGGATTTCTGGGATCTGCGATCTGTTCTCCTGGCGCGCTCAGCGCGGCAGGGAGGGGTTCAGTGCAGGTCAAGGATGTTCACGCGGACCTGCGAAAGTTCGTGCTTCTGCAATTTGTTCCTAAGTGGCGTTTCGCTGGAGGGTTCCGATAGAAATCAAATATTCCCTCTCACCAGAATCTCGACGGGAAGCTGGGGGGAAGCGTCTCCCAGGCCCGGCGACTGTCCGGGTGCGCACAATATGATACGGCGTTCTGGCTCGATTTGGTCCAACAGTGGGGCTCACAGTGGTGTTCTGGCGGCCCGGAATCTGCCAACAGCGCTCACTATGCACTCCGGCTTGATTGTCTCCAGACATGCGAGTTACCATGGTGTTCTGGCGGCCTGGAATCTGCCGCCCCTGCTCCCCCCATAGGTCGCCTCCTTGTCGCTCCCCGAGCCCTGCAGTTAATGCCGCGACGGGTGCCGCCCTTGTATTGTTAGGCGCCGATTGCGGTGATCGCTTGCTTTTTTGGTAGCAGGCACGTGACAGAGCCAGCCGGCGGATCTGATGCGGATTCGTCGGCGTTGTCTTCCCTTTGGTGCCGACCAGTTGCATTTTCCTGCTCTCGTTCACACTCACCGTCCTTAGAGTTTCCCCCCGCGCACCCTCGCCCGCCATCCCCGTTCCATCAGCCAGGCCGCCCCCTTCGCATTACCTTGCCTTGGTGTGGTGGCGTCGGCGTAATACCCACCAGGAATGGCCCCACCCCTGCTCCGACCTCGCTTTCCCCTGTCCCGCCGCAGCATACGCGGCCACATCTGGCGATTTCGCCTTACCCCGTCGCAGCCGTGCGCCGACGGCACCAGAAGAGACCATGGCACGACGGGATCGAGGAGCCCCGAAGTGGTCTACCCGCCCAGCCCGCGTTCCGCGCGGGCCCCACCCCTCGGGGAGCCGAACCCCCCAAGGACGAGAGTCAGTCCAGGTCCTTTCCTCGGGGGAGTTCCCCTGGGGCCAGACACGGGCCGAAGCGGCCACTGGGGGGGGCCCCCTTGGCCGCTCTGGACTGGGTTCCGCGCGGGCCCCAGCCCCCACGGGGCCCCCTTCGGGCAAGCCTTGGACCACATCCCCTTCCCCAGGGCCAGAGGACCGGGGAAGTGTCCCAGAGGGGCCTCCCTACCCCGGCCCTGCCTGGGGCCTCAGCTGGCCCCAGCCTCTCGGAAACTCATCGGGGCGACTCCGTCGCGCAGCGCTACAGGAAGCGCGGGAGCCACAGGGGGAGAGAGGAGTTGGGTGGACCACGTTGCCCGCAGGAGGGAGAGACGAGGGCGGCTGTTCGGGCGCTCACGAAGGCCCATCTCCCTGGGGCCCCTCATGGCATGGCCGAAACTCCATCGGGTTTCTCATGACTGCTTGCCTCGGCCATCCCCGATACTTCAGGATGTGGCCCGTTGTCGTCCAACTATTTTAAGGGGGGGGGTAGCGGGCCCTCCCGTAAGCTGCCCGACAATCTCCAGTATTTCGCCGATGACCGCTTTATTACAGAAATGGGTTTGGGCACCCTTTACGCGTATAGCGAGTTCTGTTATCATCCTCGATCCTCCCCCACCTCGATCCGATTGGCGTCTTCGAAGCCGTTCAAGCTGCTCGCGGCGATCAGGCGGAGGAGGGAGGGGGGGGCTGGGCCAAACCGACAGGCTCGACGCCGTCGAACACCTGATTAGCCGCCCTATCGGTCTGCGACTTCCCGTGGCCAAAAACATTGACACCATCAACGTAGACGTCGCAGGCGGGCTCGCCCAGACCAGGGGGGGGCTTACAGGACTCAAGCACGCTTCCCCCCCCAGAGTTAGAGAAACGCTGGGCCGGGAACGTAGCACAGGATTGCGCGAAATAACAAGCCCAGGACCAACCCATAGGGACAACCTTTGATCGTGGGTAAGTCTTGTCTGCGGGCAACACGGGCACCCCCTCGATCTCGCGAACGCCAGCTTGGAGCAGTCGCAACCCCGAAACCGCGGGCAGGGAAAACTACGAGCTCAAGCCCGGCGGGAGCCCGCAGCAATGGAAATCACCATTGATATCGCCGAGGGCAACATGCGGGTCGCCGCCCCCTCGCGAGCGCAAGCCGCGCCCGCCGGCCCTCCAAGCCGAACGCACGGGCTGTCGCGCATCCCACGATTCGCGGGGCGACAGTCTAGGATCAGTCGCAGAGCCCCAGACTTCTTCTTCACGAAGAAGGGCGCGGCAATAACCTGCGACACGCGGCCAAAGCGGAAGATTCCCGATCTGCGACCCCTTCACCTCATTACAAACTCGAAATACAAATCCGCATCAGCCTGCAGAACTGGTTCCATATACGGCTTGATATACTCCTCATTCTCGGAAATATGGCCCCAATCATCGGGGCCATGCTAGATCTGCTCTTCAAAGTTGACGAGACACTCCCTGGGCCTGCCGTCGAGCACCGCGGTCCAATCCACAGGCTCTGCCCCCAGGAGAGGCAGGGAGAGCAGGTCCGCGTCGCAACTTGCGATGGGAAGCTCAGGACCACCCTCATAGTCCTGACCTGCGCCGAACAACACCACGCGGGCTGCCTCGGCACTGAAATTCTCCGGGACATCAGTCAGATGAACGCCGAGAAGACGTCGAAGCGCCGTCGCCTGAGACAGGGTCGGACGCGAAGAGGCGGGCGGCTGGCGGCCACAGTGCAACCTATTAAGCGCCTCGGCGGAGCCGATGGCGCGGCTCAAAACTACCCTCTTGCGGTCGAAGCGTTGCTGCAGTCTCCTGCAACGGCGCCTCGGCCAAACAGCCGTGGACCAAGCTTCTAGCGCAGGTAGAGGAAGGAGCTCCCGGGGAGCGAAGCGATGCCCGACCATCACACAAGCACAAGGCCGAGCGGAAGCACCCGATCGGATACCTCGAGAAGGGGGCGCTCCACACCCCACTAACTCTTGCCGCCCTTGTCCGTGTCCATCTCGGGCTTGCCTGTGCCCCCGAGCCTGGACTCGTCGATGGCCTTCCTCTTCTCTATCATGATCGCGGCCTTGTCCGTCAGCCTGTTGGCGGCGTAGCTCATCAAAACGTCTGGGGGACCCCCAGTCCCTCGAGTCTCGGCCCAGCCCAGCATGATGTCTGCAGCGCTTTAGTCTGGGTTGCTGGGCGATGAGGCGCGCGCTTCTTCCAGCACGCTCTTGCGCCTCACCAACAGCTCTGCGCCCAGGAGGTTCGGGAGATTGCGCTGATCGATGCACTGCAGCGCGCGGAGCACCTCGCAGATCAGCTTGCACTCGTGCACCGAGCGGTCTCCTGACCGAACAAGGGCTGCGACTGGCCACTCCCGAGCCTGCATCCGCCACGCGAGGCCCTGCGAGCGGAGGGCGGTGGCCGTGCCGAGCGTGATCCTAGGGCCATTCGGGAAGCCGTCAAGCTCAGGCTCCTCGAACATTTCCAACACCCGGTCGCGGAACCCGCGGTTGCGCACCCCGTGCTCGAACCTCGGCGTCGAGCGACAGGAGCCTCATCACCGATCTACCAGCTCCCACACGGCTCCGCGAGGAGCCACTTGCCAGCACCCGGAACGCCGATACCGCCAGCTGGTGGAGGCGACCCCTGAGCGACATGGCCCCAACCCAGCAGCTGCGTCTGCACCTCCGCGTTCGGCATCGCCGCCTGCAGGGCCGCCTGCGGAGGCGGGCCGCGAAAGGCGTACACTGGCTGGTGTGGCGGAGCAGGCGGGCGGCCAGCGTCGTCGAGGAACGTCACCTTAATCTCCCTCGTACTGCAATCTCCCTCGTACTCGTCGTCGTCCGGGGTCAGGATCCAGGCCGACCCACCGCCTGGGTGCGCCTTAGTCACCAAACGTTCGTGTGAGAACGCCTCCCCCGCGAAGTCGACCAGCGGCCGACGCCAAGGACAGAGGCCATCGCTTGTCGGCTGCGGCAACCCATCCAGACGCATCTGGGAGGGCGGGGCTGCTGCTGGAGGCGGCGCACCTGGAGGGGCGGTGGCGCCATCAGGGCGGGGACGCTTGCCAACGCCATTGCGGATACAGGTACACAGAGTGATGGGCGTACAGCACGAACTGCGGGCCACACAGGCCAGGTTGATCCAAGAGGGGAACTCGGCTGGCATACGGCTTTGGTAGCAATTCTCGATGAAAGTCTGATTGACCGATCCGTTGCCACCGAGCCCGTCAAGCATACGACCACATGTGCAGCTGCAAACGCCAGTGCAATTGACCTCCACATCCACCTACATGCGCTGAAGGGCCAGCAACCACGTCTGCTTCTCAGTTCCAACCAAGAAACCCAGATCGCCCCGACCAATACATGGGCGTATCGCGGAAAGGACATACAAGCGCTAGAAACAGTTTGAGCAAAAAAGACGGACTACGGGTCAGATAGGCAATCTGAACGTGAACCACGGCGCTCTCTCTCTCTACGTTCCTGTGGATTATCACGCAAGCTAACGAACATACAGAACTATCGCGTGCGCTTCGCGTGCGCTTAGGTTCTAGCTCGTCGAGTGCTGACCGCATTGCAACAACAAGGCGGTAATGAATAATGAGGTCAACATTCTCTGTTTCCTCCCGCCTCTTCCTCACTCCTCCTCCTCCTCCGCTCTCATCGACCGGTCGACCGGTGATCTGTCGCCAAGCTATGGGACAGGACAAATGCAGCGCTACAGCGACATTCCATGCCTTGTCTTACCTCGTCCTCCAATATTCCTTATACGTCCTGCCTCGTTAACCCTCCAGATTCTCTCGATTGTCCTCGCTTTTCGTTTCTCGTTCTTATCGACGGTCTCCTCTTGCTTGGGATTATGCGGGGGGTTCGAGCTGTTCAGGGCCGGCGTGGGAACATTTTCAATATGAAGTGGGCTGGCTTGAAATGTACGGGTCTCTGTGGATCTTCCTGTTTGGGCTGCCTTGAAGGCCTTGGGGCCCGCTTGGGCCCCTCTTGGGCTCTTCTTCGAAGTTGTGAGGCCGTCGCGAGCCTCGGCGCCATGTGAAGCTCTCCCGAAGCCATCCGAAGAAGACGAGCGTGAAATTTACTGAATATGGAGAAACCTGAATGGCTTTTGCGTGTGTGGCTCTGGGGTCATTTGTTTGGGAGGGCCTTTGGGAGTTCCACTGGGGCATCTTCTGGCCCCTGGGGGCCGCCTTGAAACATCTTGGAGCGCCTTGGATCACTAAGGGACCATCTTGGCGGTCAGCGGACGTCCTCCTGACCAGCTCGGAACCCTCCCAGAGGCCCCCAACACACCCCCGATCCCCGAGAGGCTCCAGAAAGATCCTAACGAGGCTCCAAGAACAGCCCAAGAGAGCTGCGAGAGCCGTCCCGAGAGAGCCCCCAAAGAGGGTGAAATCGTTGATTTCCAATTGTTTTTCGAATATGTTTCGCCTTCTCACGTTTTCCCGTTTCCAACCCTCGAAGATCGAGGATTTAGAAAAAAAGGAATTCACAGAATCCAATCTTTTTCAAAGTGGGACTCCTACTCGAGGGTCCCACACATCCCCTGACATCTGGCCAGTACCGCGCCTCCCGGCTTCCCGGAGGGAGACCCCAGGACGCCGAAGGACAGCCCATGACGACCTCGAAGAGCCCCCAGAACGTAAAGAACGGCCCAACACGCTCCCGCGCAGCCCGAGACACCCTCGCGGCGGCTCTCCAGGCCTTTAGGAGGCCTCCAGAAGCTCCAGGGGGTCCAGAAGATCCCACACCCCTGAGGGGCCCGGCCAACAGAACCCGCGAGGCACAAACAAAAAACAGCGCCGAACAGCGCCGAGGAACTGGAAAAACATGGGAATCCCACAAATATTTGTTTCTCAAGTTTGGCACCCAGTCTACTCTTGCACAACTGACCACAATTCAGACCCCCCTCACCTCCCAAAAAGAACCCAGGAAGCCTTTGAGGGCCCCAAATCGTTGAATACCTAAAGGGAATTAATGGTTTCTGCGTTTCCGCGTTTCAACTTCTATGAAATTCCGAGGCTTACGCAGGATCTCCAAGGGAGCCCCTGGACGCAAGAAGCGACCAAAATGAGATGGCATGCGTTAGCCTATCAAGCCTAGCTAGAACTTGAACGCGCGCGAAGCGCGCGCGATGGTTCTAGTATGTATGTGTATATATGTATATATACTAGAACCATCGCGCGCGCTTCGCGCGCGCTCAGGTTCTAGCCCAGGCCAGGGGGGGCGCTGGACGATCTTGGACAACGCTATCAAGCACAGGCGCGCGACAGCATCTGAGGAGCTTCTGGGGTGTTCCGCATGCTTCGTCAACTGGCTGTTGGAGGCACCTCTTGGGTGCCTCTTGGGGGGGCGTCTGAGGGTCCCTTGGGGGCATCGGTTCTGCAATCTGAAGCCGTCATTGGCCGTCTTTGCTGCGTGGAGGTCCGACTTGAGGCCACCTGCGGCCAGATTGAGGCAATCCGGAAGCCTCCCGCGGGCCTCCTGGAAGCAGTTTTGACGCATGGAGGGCACTCTTGGGCTATTTTAAAACCTCTTGGACGTCTCCTAGGGGCCTGTTGGGCCCTCGGGAAGCTTTTGGGGTCCTCTTGCGGCCTCCTGTGGGCTTTTGGGGGGGAACGCTCTGCTGTGGGGTCGCGTTCCCCTTCTTGGGCCTCTCTTGGGGCTCTTGGGGCCCTCTCGGGCCGTCTTGGGCGCCTCAAACACCGTCTTGGGACCCTCGCGGGCCGTCTTGGGGCCCTCTTGGAGGCCTCTTCCTCTATATTGGAGCGGTATTGGAAGCCTCTTGGGCCGTCTTGGAGCATCGGGATGCCACAAGGCAGAAATAATTAAAACCCGTCAAAGCCCAATCGTAAAACAATGAGTTGTGCCTCTTGGGGCCACCTTGGGAGATCTCTTGGAACCTCGTCGGCCCTCTTGGGAACTTCTCTGGGGCCTCTTGGATCCGATTGGGGGCCTCTTGGGACTTCCCGAGAACCTCTCGGGGTAGAAAGCTCGGATTCTCAGTTCGTGTTTCCCTTCTTGGGCCTCTCTTGGGGCCGTCTTGGGGCCCCCTCGGGCCCTCTTGGGCGCCTCAGGCACCGCCTTGGGGCCCTCGTGGACCGCCCAGGGCCCTCTTGGAAGCCTCTTCGGCTATCTTGGAGCTATCTTGGAGGCCTCTTCCTCCTCCTCGTCCCCCTCCTCCTCCTCCCACTCCAACTCTCTCTCCTCCTGATCTTCCTCCTCCTCCTGCAGCGTGTTCCGGAAGGCTCCCGCCGGAACATGCTGTGCACAAGTGCTGTCACTGCTCCCGCCACAGTGCCCTGGGTGGTGGGTCAGAGGCCTCATCGTCGACTCGGAGTCGACGATGAGTTCTGTCTGTGTGTGCTTTCCCCTCCTGAACTTGGGCCCTCACAGGCGGCCCGGCAGCGCCTACCCCAGGTCTGCGGGGGCTCTCGGCGTGGGCCACATGGGCGCTTTGCGGGGGGCTCTCTTGGGCCGCCTGCGAGCGTCTGCAGGCGCTCTTGGGGGCCTCTGGGCGCCTCATCGCAGCCTCCTGGGGGACAGCGGAGGCGCTTCGGTGATCTTCTGTGGAGCCTTTGGGGGCTGTCTCGGGCCGTCTTGAGGCCCTCGGGGAAGGATTTGAAGATGTTTTCTGTTTTTTTTGTATTGATCCTGTCCGCCTCGAGGCCAAGGTCCAGCCTCAAAGCACGGATGAGCCGCGCAAGCGCACTACTTCGCACGGAGATGGTGCGTCGCGGTCGCGCAACGCTCATGCAGCAAGATGGAGTGATTGAACAGTGCTGCAACTGCAGCAGGCAACGGTTTCGGAAAGATACCGCAGCGTTCACACTCGAGGAGGGGGCAGGTGTTTTCCTTCTTGGGCCTCTCTTGGGGCCGTCTTGGGGCCCTCTCGGGCCTTCTTGGGCGCCTCAGGCACCGCCTTGGGGCCCTCGTGGGCCGCCCAGGGCCCTCTTGGAAGCCTCTTCGGCTATCTTGGAGCTGTCTTGGAGGCCTCTTCCTCCTCCTCGTCCCCCTCCTCCTCCTCCCACTCCAGCTCTCTCTCCTCCTGATCTTCCTCCTCCTCCTCCTCCTCCTGCAGCGTGTTCCGGAAGGCTCCCGCCGGAACATGCTGTGCACAAGTGCTGTCACTGCTCCCGCCACAGTGCCCTGGGTGGTGGGTCAGAGGCCTCATGGGTGTTGGTTTGGATCTCGTGGTTGGCCTGTCGGGGACGTCGTGAAGGCAGTTTCGCAGCTTCTCGGTAGCCGTTTTGGGACCGTTGTGGGGCCTCCTCGGGGCTGTTTTGTGGCCTCTTTAGGCCTCGTTTGGGCCTCCTGGGTGCCTCTTGGGGGCCTCCTGGGGCCTCTTGGGGGCTCCTTGGGGCCTCCTGGGGCACTCTTCAAGCGGGAGGGTCGAATTTTGGAGTCGTGGTCCCCCTCTTGGGCGCATCTTGGGGCCGTCTTGGGGCTCTGTTGGGCTGTCTTGGGCGACTCTGGGGCCGTCTTGGGGCCCTCTTGGGCCGTCTTGGGGCGCTCTTGGGGGCCTATTGAGCCGTCTTGGAACGTCGGACAGCCGAAAAGGCTGGAAGGCCAAAATCGTTCGAAAACCTTCGTAAAATTGACGATTTCGGCCTCTTGAAGCGCTCTGGAGAGGCGTCTTGAAGCGTCGTGGGGTGCCTTGGGGGGCCTCTCGGGCCGTCTTGGGCCTATCTTGGGAGCCTCTGGAGGCCCTCCTGGACTATTTTGGACCTCTCTGGCCGCCCCGTCCTCCCATGGGGGGTCGGAGGCGGCGGCCTCCGAGGCCAAGCACGCGGAAACCTTCATGGAAGGTCGGGGCGAGTCGGGGCAGCTGTTTTCGGGCACCGGGCCTCCTGGGTGCCTCTTGGGGGTCTCCTGGGGCCTCTTGGGGCCCCTTTGGGGCCTCACGGGGCCCTGTGGAGGCGGGAGGCTCGGATTTCCGGTTCGCGGTTCCCCTCTTGCGGCCGTCTTGGGCCTCTCTTCGCCCGTCTTGGGCGCGTCTTGGGCCGTCTTGGGGCCCTCCAGAGCCGTCTTGAGCCCCTCTTGGAGGCCTCTTGGGCTGTCTTGCGGCGTCCGCGGGGGGCCTTTGAGCCGTCGTGGAGCGTCGGAAAGCTGAAAAGGCGGGAAAGGCAAAATGTGTCCAAAACCTTCGTAAAATTAGCGATTTTGGCCTCGTGGGGCCCTCTGGGGGGGGCCTCTTGGAGGCCACTTGGAGCGTCTTGGGGGCCTCTTTGGCCGTCTTGGGCTTATCTTGGGCATCTTGGGGCCCTCTTGGCGCCCTCGTGGGCCTCCACTGAAGTAGTGGACCACAGTCCACGCATGCCAATCTGCATTCCGAAAGGCCTTCGAGGAAAATGGTTGTGTAGGGGGGCGGAGGCCGTGTGAATCCGGTTCCCAGAAGG